GAGCAGAAAGGGGCTCCAGAGGGTTTGTTGAGGCAGACAGGGTGCTAGGGCTGGCACTGGAGTTACCTGCTGTGCAACAGGCACCCCATCAATCCACATCAATTTTGGGGGTTTATTGAGGTAGAGGAGCAAAGGTGAGTTTGCTGTTGAATTAGATGGGCAGGAGAAAACAGCTTTTCTGCAGTGAAATCCCCAAACTACAGTTACAGCGTTGAATTCCCATTACATTAACGCTGATAACCCCATCCTGAAATCCTCCACGGAAATACTTTGCAGCAGAATTCTCTCGCTACTGCTTGAAAGTGTGCATGGCCAGGGTAAAATGAGAGCTGAGTCAACGTTATTCCTCAAATCTAGGGGCAATATCTGCACAGTTCAAAGTACTTTAAACTGTCTGTGTGTGTATTAAGATTTGCAGGGAAAGGTTTGTGCTTTCACTGGTATCTCTTGTATGTGACAGTGCCTGTGCAGCATGCAGAAAAAGCATCGATTCTAACAGCTCCAAATGTCATCAGGAGAAGTGACTGTTGCAAAATACAACCCAATGTCCTGATTTTTTGCATGCAGAGTTGTCCCATGGACCTCAAATCTGGACTTTCCTCCTCCTGGGCCATGAAGAAGTCACCACATGCTATGTCTGGGCACGACCCTCAGGTCTGGCTGGGGCTGCAGTGCCACCTGGGCATGGTGGCACTGGCTGTTTCTGCAGCAAGTGTTCCTATGGGTCTTAATGAACAATGAATAAAGCTGTTAAAGCAATGAGTAATTAACAAAGAAGGATTTTCCTGCAGATAGAACTGTACCTGCCCAAAGCTGGACGTAGCTTCCCAGTGAGCCTCCAGCCCTGAAGGCACTCCCACAGCCTCAGGAGCCTGCAGCCCAGGCCAGCACCATGCCACAGGGCACCAGGAGCCACTCCCCAGATCAACTCCTTGTGCGTGGCCAAAAACATCAGCATGGACAGTCCTGGGGTCAGTGTAAAAGCCCTTTTGAGCAAATGGGTGGATGCAGAAAAGTCTTAAAGCCTTGGGAAGTGGTAGAGGTTCAAACCTTGGAGATGGTTGGGAATGATACAGCTGGGGACTGGAGTCACCCACATGCTCCATACCTCTGCTCCTCCCTGTCAACATGGCAAATGTAATGAAAAAATACAGGAAAGAGTATTTTTCCAAGCTCTGGTATCTCTACAAACAAAGAGGCTGTAACTTCCTGGGCTTTAAATGCTGGTGGTTTCATCTCTGTGTTGCTCACAGCCCTGGTCCAGGCAGAGGTCATCCAGCCACGGGCCAGGCTGCTCCACTTAGTAGCAGCATCTCTGCGCTCTTAATGGATGCTTTGGTTACAGGATTGCTCACTTGGGGGAAAATACCACATATGTGAGTAGTAGCTAATGCTCCTGAGAACCATGTAAGGACATGGAAGCCACAACTGACAATTGTCAAATTGACAGTTTTTGGACTTGGGGGTGTTGGTTGATGAGAAGCTCCCCATGACCTGGCAGCATGCGCTTGAGCCCAGAACCCTGCTGTGTGCTGGGCTGCTGGAGGGGGGCTTTGGGCAAGGGCCTGTAGGGACAGGACAAGGGCAATGGCTTGAACCTGCCAGAGGGGAGATTGAGATGAGCTCTGAGGCAGAAGCTCTTCCCTGGGAGGGTGCTGAGGCGCTGGCACAGGGTGCCCAGAGAAGCTGTGGCTGCCCCATCCCTGGCAGTGTTCAAGGCCAGGTTGGACACAGGGGCTTGGAGCACCCTGCTCTAGTGGAAGGTGTCCCTGCCCATGGTAGGGGTTGGAGCTGGATGAGCTTTTGAGGTCCCTTCAAACACAATCATTCCATGATTTTATTATTGCTTGCTGGTTCTCTCAGTTACAACCCTAACACAAGTGTTGGTTGGAAGGAGGCAAAGGCATGACCACACTCTGAAGCATGTGCTACTTGACACCCTATTTGCCCTGTTTGTCCTTTACTGTGAGGACATGAAAGGAACTGGAAGAAGATGGAAATCAGTAGGATTAAGAAAACTCTTCAGTCTCAACACACAGTATCATTCTTAATGCATCACTCATCTGACTGTCAGGGCACATGAGAGGATGCTTCTCAAGGAGTGTCCTCACCCACCCAGCCATCCATCAGCCTGGTATGAGCCTTATCCATTCTTCTAGACCAACCTGAAGCCTTCAAAGCACTCAGCAGCAAAGGGATCATCCCCAGCAACATGTACATCAACTACCAGTTTCCTCTCAGAAGAGTTTGGTTGCTTGTTAATCCCATGGGAATTCATCTCTCCTGAAGGCAAACCTGTTCCCATCTGAACTTCCATTTTTGTGCAGGCTTCATGTTCATTGCAGAGGAATTTTGCTTCCAGGAATGGGAGCTCAGATACTTTATAAATACTTGATAGCTCTGACCACCTCTTCTGAGATACTATTTTATTTAAAAAAAGACTTTTTGTGGTTCTGGATGCTCAAATTCACCAAGCTCACCCATGTGATAGTTTTTGCCTCTCATATTGGGTGTACACACCAACAGTGTCATGACCTTTAATAACACACTTTAATTAATCCTGGAATTCTGAATGTGCTATTATAGTCATTTTTCAAAGATGGGTGAAAGTAAACAAGAAAAAAATCTATGTTGCTTGTGCAGAGCCACACTGGCAGACCAGGAAATTAACCTCTTAATCATTCTGCCAATTTGACCCAGTAGGGAA